CATCATTTTTGTTGTTTATACAAAATCTCAACAAAAATGACAAGATTTTATAATCTTGTAGGGAATAAAACAAATGAACAATCAGAAGCCACAAAATATAATAATCAAAACATTTCACTTTTTATCCAAATTAATCAATACAAAAGTTTCCTATAATATTACAATTCCACCACATTTCTATTGCCTGTGGTTCTACAGAAAGATACTGAGAATACCATAGGCACACCATTTCCACTGAGAATACCATAGGCACACCATTTTCACTCACAAGGCTTGGGTCAACTTGTGGCATGTCTTTCAAGCAGTTTCCAATGATTCCACATGCTAGGATTACCTCTCCAAGCCAATAACATCAAGAAGTCACCTTGCTGACAAATCAACCATGATGAGATTCAAACCCAGGCCTCATGTTTAGAAATTGAATTGCCACCTCTCTCTCTCTCTCTCTCTCTCTATATATATATATATATATATATATATATATATACAAAAGGAAAACTTAGCTGACATGTCCTTGATAAAGCCCCTAAGAGGACAAAAGGTTTTTGCTAAGATTAGTTTTCCTTTTTGTCTTTATTCATATTGTCCTTTTACAGATAAGATATATTCTATCTGAAATTATATATATATATATATACACACACACAATGTGTGTGTGTATATGCTCATATATACACACACACACAGTGGCTTATGGATTATAATAAATTATCCATGTTCATTATTCTTAATTTTTTATTTTGTTTCTCAAAAACATTGACTTAGTGTTTTCTTTCTTTTAACAAATTGCAAATATATCTTCAACCTAAAAATGTTAATGTTATTGCACCTTGTTTAGCCTTAAAGAGAATAATTAGATATCTGTGAGAAAATTCCCCACTTCATAGACATTTGGACAAGCATTAAATAGAGAATCCCTAGAGATGTGATCATAATTAGTCAATCTCTTGGAGAAAAATGGACAAGGTACTTGATATAGCTGTCATGGCTTCTCATTGAGAAAAGCAGTAAAATTACATGGAATATTTCAGTATTTGTTCAGACAGCTGAAACTCATTCTTTAAGTTGATGATATTTTTACCACAAGGTTTCAGCCAATTCCTTTTTCAGGTTTCTTCATATATGTAATGTGTAAGGAAAGAGAGAAAAACATTTTTTCTGTTATTCAGAACAAGATTGTGACAGAAAATAGTAGTTAGCAACACAAATCATTACTTCAGTTTTCTGAAAAACATCTATAGATGTTAGTAAATCTTCTCAAAATATAGGTAATTACATAGAATACATTTTAAAATTTAACTTTTGTCACAACCAGAGATCATGAGTTGCAAATATTGTTCCAGTGATTTTGGAATTAAAAGTAAACAAGGAAAATATAAAATTTAACTATCAACAAATTTGACAAAATTCTTAAATTTAGGACATCAGAAATTTAGGATAAATAAACAAAAAAATGGTTTCAAATTTATCTATGAATTTATGAAAAAAAGTAATGCATATAAAGTGAAACATGATTCTAAAATAATATGCTACTTAAATTTTTTTTTACATGTGTCAATGAAAAAATATTTTCAACCCATTTTCTTTGTTTAATATCAATATACATGGAGGTATGACTGTTACTGTTCCTGTAACTTGACATGGTTATGGTGGCTCTGCAATGTTGAATACATCATAAACTGACTCTCTTTCAGGCAAGATAGAGGTCTGAGTTTCAGCAAAGTTCTTCTCTGTTCAATTCTTTCATTATCTACCTTATATCTTTTTCCCTTGAATTGTTCTATAAAGGATAGCCTGTCAGAAAGCTGCCACATGGCCAACGGCCATACCATCTTGTCAAAAAAAAATAGTCTGTGGGAACACCACATTGAATGAATAAATGAATGAAAAATGTCCTACCTTAACTTTTGGTGGTGACAGAACAAACAACATTCATACAAGAAGCAATAACAAATGAGACCTTGTTATGGTTTTAGAGCATGGTAATTAATCTATTTATTCAGCATGGCTCTCTTACAACAACTGAAGAAAAAAGGAGGGAAGATTAACAAAAAAGGTCTATGCACCCTCTACAACTTGAAAAACAAATGTCCAAGGTCGAATGGAAATAAATAATTCCTTATTATTTATTAATTTTGTTTTATTTTAAATATTATCTACAAAGAGCACAATTTTCAACACCTCATATTCCTCTGCATGTTTCAGATGTTTTATGCTTCAGCCTTCTTCAGGTGATATTTGTTGGAATTTTGAACCAAACACTTTATTTAGTCCATGGGGATAGATTCTTCTAATTCCACATGCCATGCCTTTGGGTATCTGAGTTTCAGTTAATTCCCCTTAGTAACTCAACTCTCCAAGTTTTTGTTCCCTCTGTTGTGGCCAGGTATTGAACTCACAACTCTTTGGGTCAAGTCACTTTTTGGATCACTCAACCAATGCTTTTATCCACTGGGCTATGTATTCCCATGATAAAAGCATTAGTTCCATGACTCCTAGTCGGGAACTGATAACATAGAGAAGGTCATTGATGAGGATCAGAAACAACATAAGTCCAAGGATAGCACCCTGGGGGATCCCTGTATTAGTGTGAAAGGAACTAAAAGTAAGTCTGTTCAACACAACCTTCATTTCATGATATGTCAATAATAATTGGATTAAACCAAATATTCATTCAGAGAGACAATATGCCATGAGCTTATGGAGAAAGTGGTAGTCATCACTTCATCATCCTCATCAAACACTAGCAGTAGTGCAAATTTTGTGACAATTTTTGCCTGGGAGGATTTTTCCCTGAAAAGGTTGAAATTCCGTCTGGTGTTTTTGGGTTTATTGATATTTTTGAGCTTGAATCTGAAGTTCATTATAACAAGATTAAGGCCACTTGTCATAGCCTTATTTCTCTTGATTTCTAACTTGAATTGACGTTGAACCAATATGTAACTGATCTGTTTGTGATAGGATCGACTTGGCTTTAGTATTCATGAACAGTGTTGGCTTGAACTGTGTTGTAGCTGGCATACTTCTAAAACTGTAACCTTCACTCATTGATGGAGTTATTACAAGAGAATCCACAGAACTTTTTCCACATTCTTTTGCTAATCAGTGACACTATATGCACTCCAGTTTCCTTGGATTATTACTATGTTCATCATGTCAATAAGTTCTTGTGGTTTGGTGTAGTATTTTTCCACTTGCTTATCATTATTGTCTGGGGTTAAAGCATTGGCTTGTACAATGACGATGCTTGCAATCAAATGACAATAAACATTTGACAGCATTCAAAGACAGAACTTCTTGTTTACAAGGAAAACTATGCCACTGATGTAATTGCCCAGGTCTCCCCTATAGCAGAGAATATATCCTTTAGTTTGGTGTTCACTCAGGCTTGCCCATATGACTCCACAAAACCAAATAATGTATTAGTTGTACTGCTTCAGTTCATGTATAATTTCTTGAACTTTTCCTGGCTGGACCAGTGATCTCAAACTCCAATCATTATTATTCCTTCCACATATATTCTTTGAGGAGTCTCCATGTTGTATAATTCTCACCTCTACTCCAGTGGATAGTTGTAGGTGTGGTTCTTTTTAAACTAAGTGACAACTGATCTGGCAGAATCATTGATATTTTGTTCATCTTCATGAAGTATGTTGTGTGTAGGATTAATCTGGTGCAACCCCTCCCTCTCCAAGAATGATAAAAGTCAAATTCTTTCCTTTTGGTGGATGACAGTGGTTATGAGCACACGCTGTTACAGATCACTAATAGTTCTTTCTGATCTGGGGGGAGATATTCTCAGCAATATTGTGTTAACATTGCCATGTAGCAGTTAATATTGAGTTTCATGACACTGTTAGCAAGAGAAATCTTCTAACTTGACTCATAGAATTTAGCTTCATGGTTATCAGCACAAAAATTTCAGCCAAGGCTGTTTAATTTCACTTGAAGATAATGCCTTTAAAAAAATTAATCAATTCTCTTTGTGTTCTGTCCCATTGCTGTATATCTTAAAAAAATATGGTGACACTGGCATGTCATGATGTCCAATAAAGAAAAGTTGATGTTGGGCAAATTATCTCAATAGTAACTGTAAAAAGCAGTTACTCTTATACTTAATTTTGACAAGTTTTATATATGAAGAGAGGACATTGTGGAAGAATATAAACATGTAGTGAAAATGAAAATTTAAGAAGTAATTTAAAAAATTATACTTTTGCTCTTAGATGAAATACGTGTATATTGTGTTTAAATATATATGTTTAATGAACCATCTCCAATCCATGATTTGGAATCATTCTGCCAATTAGCCTCTCAAACCCCATGATGTTTATTTTAAAACTGAAGAGAACTTCACCTGAATATGGTTAAATGAATCAATTGACAAGAAAAAAACTATTTATAATAATAAAAACAGTGCATTTATTAAGTGAGGATTAGAAGATTTGAAATTAACATTCCTGTTATTTTCCTAACTATACCCAGGTGTTCAAATCCCATGTGATCAGCTTTCACTTATTTGTTGGCTCAGGAATACAAAGAATCTGCAACATAATTCACCCTGACCTGGCATCTCATCTTCAGTCCCTTTCCCACCACTATAACATAGCTTCCCTGTGGTTTTTCTATAAATATTTTCAGGGTAATTGTTCTGATGAGCTTTCCTCTTTGGTATCTAGACTTCATGAATTTAAGTGCAGTACTAGATTGATGGAAAGATTTCAGCATTTTACAGTTGAAATGAATAGATGTAACCATAAGTTCAATGTTAGCAGTTTCTTTTATCACATTTCTTGTTTATAGAACTCTCTTCCAACTTCTTGCATTCCAGTAAACTTTGATCTTCAAAAATCTCAATGCAATGTCAATCATTATCTTCCATCATCTTAATTCCTGTTCTTTTATTGTTCTTTCTCCTTAATAATGTTTTCTCTTCCTCATATTCTTTCACACTCAGTAGTCCCTGGTGTCTTAGTGGCTTTATTGCCTTTCTTGGGATG